GGCTTGCTATAGATAGAAATTTGTCTTGTTAAAATTGAGCTAAATGTAAATGATTCATTAAATTACTAATCTCTACTCAATAATTGGTCTTCAAGTAAATAAATCTAGTACATAAAATTCAAAAGTTAAACACACAGAGCAGTCATTAGATTCTCTGTAATAGTTTAAAACTATAAAGGGAACCTAAAGGAACAGTGTGTGTGTGTGTGTGTGTGTGTGTTGTGCGTGCGCACACACACACACACACACACACACACACACACACGCTGGTTTGAAGTGCCACAGCTCAATAGTGCTTAGTTTTTTAAGTTTTTTTTTTTTGTTGTTGTTGTTGTTAATCCTCACCCAATAATATTTTTCCATTCATTTTTAGAGAGAGTATAAGGGAGGGGGACAAACACACAGAGAAACATCGATGTGAGACACACATGGATTGGTTGTCTTCCGCACATATCCTGACCAAGGCCAGGGATTGAGCCTGCAACTGAGGTACGTGTCTTTGATTGGAATCGATCCCGGGACCCTTCTGTCTGTGGGCCAAGGCTCTATCCACTGAGCCACACAGGTCAGGGCTGGAGTTCTTTTTAAATGTTTGTTAATTTCTATTGTTGTCTTCATGCTCATTGCCATTAATCTCCCCCAGTATACAATTCATCTCAGGTACTATAATAGAGTTCATTTCCTAAAGTTTGAGTTGGATCCTTTTAAATATCTTTTATGTCTCTAAATATAATTATAATAACTGTTTTAATGCCCTTGTCTGCTAATCCTAAACTTTGGGTCAGTGGTACTGACTGCTCATGTCCTCTCATTCTAGGTTGTACTCCCCGCTTTCTGCATGCCTGGCCATCTTTGACTGAGTAGTAGATACTGGGTTTTACTTGTGGGTGTTGGCCATTTCTGTAACTGTGCACATGCTCTTGAGCTTCATTTGAGAACGCAGCTACCTGAAAAAGGCCCGATCCTTTGGGGTCTTGTTTCTGAGGTAGGACCAGAGCCACATTCAGTGTAGGTCTACTTACTCCCCAATACTGAGGCCAGACCCTCTCAGGACTCGAACCAGTGCCTGACAGACCCGATTCCCAGCTTTGCATCGTTTCCTCATCCGTACTCGCTGGTCAAGACTCGGCTGCATACTTGACAGGAACCTTCTGCGGGTCTCCAGCCTCTCTGCAAGGCTCTTCTCTCAGCTCTGTGCTGTGAGCTCCAAGCTGTGCTACCCACCTCTCCACTATCCTTCCATCCAGACTGCAGGGCTGCTAAGGCTTCTCCTGTGTCCTACAGCCAAAGTTCTCATGCCGGATGCCAGGCAACCATCACTCACCTCGCTTGTTCCCTGCTTCTCAGGGACCAAAGTCCTTCACTGCCCAACGGGCAGCTTAGTGTGAGGGCCTCACTGACCACAGGCCTCCCTGGACGGTCATCTGCCCGGGCCACTTCATGGGACGCTCATGTCAGCATGGCTAGGTTTTCTCCTGGGCTACATGGATTTCCCTGAGAAGAATCTTCCCATCTGTTGTCTTGTGGGTACAAGCCTGGTGATGGGGTTCTGGGAAGGTTGAGGGCCCACTACTCAGTACAAAATGTTCACGTGACCTCCGCGTTTTCACTATAATACCTCACCCTCCATAGCAGGGTTCCACAGTTGAGAACCTTACTTTTGTTCTTTCGGAGAATACACTTCCAGCCTTCTGCTGGGGAGATGATAGGGAAGTCACGAGTTATTCAGAACAGGAGCAGGGAGCTCGATGTCTGAGGCCTGTGAAGATCCTCACCCGGATGCATGCCATACTGACCTCCCTCCATAGTGTATAGGCCTGGCCCAGGGACCAGCAGGACATGGCAGAAGTGAGGAAGGACTTCTGCGTTAAGACCAGCGATTTCCATCTCATGGTGCATAAACTAATTACTAAAATTCTGTGGCACAACAAAAAATGTTACATTTTTTGCTGATCTGAAAAAAAATTTGATATAAGTTGTAGGGCGTGGCAATAGGGTTAAGCCTTTGACCGACCTGTTAGCAAAGCCACAAACAAGTCTCAGTTTAGAGGGCACAGTCCTCTTAGCATAATTAGGCTTGACCTTATAAGGCTCCCTAGATCTTATCTGGGAAGCTAATGGGCTGCCAAAACACGTGAAACTTACAAGAACACTGTAACTATGGTGACCACTACCTTGTTTACCTCTGGCTATAAAATAAAGGCTCAGCTTGCCTCTGGATCTCTCTCTGTGGCCTCAGCCAGGCACACGAAGATCCACCTAGACCCAGCTTATTCTCTTTGTCATTTCTTCATCATTTTGCCGGGTGGCTCGGAACAATAAATCTGATTCATTCACACCAAATGGCTATTGTTGTGTTGGCTGCTGTCAATTTCCAATTTGACAACTTAAGAGGAAAGAGGTCCTTGCCTGACTAAATGGTCACGTACTGCGTTTTAAACATTCTTGCGGTGCCTCGTGGAAAATCGCTGGTCTGTGTCATGAACAGCCCTGGCTTCCTCCATGGTCTCGGGTCATCCCTCTGCAGAGAGGCAGGCCTCTGAGGCAGCTGCGAGGACTCATGCAGTTCTATGCAGAGGCTCCCAGAGAGGAACAAGGTCGCCTGCCAACTTCTGTGCCTTGGAGGTGAGCTACCTTGGGAGGGGCTCTACCAGCTCCAGCCCAGCCTTCAGGTGGGATCCTGAACCAACCAGACAAGTCACTCAATTCCTGACCCACAGAAACAGTGAGGGATAATAACTGCTGTTTTGAGCCAACAAGTTTAGGAGTGATTGCTTTTGTTGTTGATCCTCATGGGAGGATATTTTTCCATTGATTCTTAGAGAGTGGAAGGGAGGGGGAGAGACTGAGAGACAGACAGACAGAAAAACATCGATGTGAGAGAGAGACATCCACTGGTTGCCTCCTGCACACACCCCAACCAGGGCCGGGATTGAGTCTGCAACGGAGGTTATATGTATGCCTTAACCAGAAATGAACCCAGGACTCTTCAGCCCATGGTTTGATGCTCTATCTACTATCAGCTAGGGCTAGGAGTGATTTCTTCATGCAGTATTAGATAGCCAGCACAGCCTCTGACTTTCTAAAATAACTTTTAAGTAATTTTCTTGGTTTTACTGCCACTCTGCTTCACTTCCAGGTAATTGGGACTACCAATTCCTGAGCTTCTTGGGGAATTCTACAGTATAAACTGGCTGCTTCCTGGCTATCAATTTCTAGCTTGGGATTATAATATTTTATGTCTGCAGTCACTATTCATCCACATGTTTCATAGGTCCCAAAGATTTTGCTGTTACTTCCGTGCTCCTTGTACTAGTTGGACAAAGAAGTTAAAAGCTATTGCTGTTGGGTCGGGGAGCAAAAGTAAGTAAGTAGTAGGCCCAAGCTGCCTCTTACCTCAAAGACCAACCAGCAAATGTTTAAATCCTTGCCAGTATAATAGGTGAAAAACAATCTCAGTATGATTTTAATTTATATTTTTCATATTATGGGCATTCTTCAGTCATCTTTTAATTTTAAGAGCCACATGTATTTCTTTTTGGATAAATCATATGTTCATCTTTGTGGCCTATTTTCCCAAGGACTTGCTAGATGTTTTTTCTTTTTGACTTACAGAAGTTCTTTATATTTGAGAAATCCATTCTTTGAAATATGAGCTGCCAATGTTTTTCACTAATAGTCATCTTCTGATCGTTTATGGTGATTTTTGCCACATAATAAAGTTCTATTTTTGGGTAGTTGACACCATCAATATTTTCTTTTTTAATTTTAAGGGCTTAAATTTTTTTTTAATTTACTGATATTACAGAGAAGGGAAGGGCAAGGGAGGGGGGGAGAGGAAGGGAGAGAGAGAGAGACATCGATTTGTTGTTCCACTTATTTGTGCATTCATTGGTTGATTTTTGTATGTGCCCCCAACCTTGGTGTATTGAGACTGGACGATGCTCTAACCAACTGAGCTCCCCTGCCATGGCCTAATGATTTTATTGTTTGTTTCTACATTTTGTGTCAGACTCACAAAGGTCTTCAACCTCTGAGATTATTTTTTAAAATTCCTCCATGGTTTGTCCTCTTACTTTAATCATTTCATTTGTATATATCTAGCTCCAATCTAATTAAAATTTATTTCCATGTAGGGAATTGATTCAACTTCACTTTCCCCCTAATATAGCTACCTACTCCCAAGTGTACTTATTAATCCATCTTTTCCTTAACGATCCGAAATGTTGCCTTTATACTAAGTTTCCTTATATAGTTGTATCTATTTATGGTTTTAATAACCTGTTCCACTAATCCCTCTGAATTTATATGTCAGTAAGATAATGTTTCATTGTTGAAGTTCATGCCTTCCTGTTATTACTCTTCTCTTTTAGCAATTTCTTCTGAAATCATGACTGAGTAAAACAATTCTTAAGCCCAAATAACTAAAGAATAATAATATCACTGGTTTTGTGGAACTGGGTTTAAACATTCAGATACAAAAAAGTTGAATATTCCATAAATAAGAAAATCATAACTACTCATGAACATAACAAGTATAAAGTTATGTCTAATTAAATGATTGGTAGTGAGATCCTCTTTTACCTTAAAAAAAGTGCTCTGGCTCAGTGGATACAGCACTGGCCCGTGCACGGACTGAGGGTCTCGGGTTCAATTCAGGTCAAGGGCACTTACCTTGGTTGTGGGCTCGATCCCTGGCCTCATTCGGAGCGTGTGCTGGAGGCAACCAATCGATGTTTGATGTTTCTCACATTGATGTTTCTCTCTCTCTGTCTCTCCTCTCTCCCTTCCACTCTCTCTGGAAAGCCCTCTGGTAAGGATTAACAACGACAAAAAAGAAAAGTATAATACAGTTAATTTAAGGAGACAAACAGAGAAGACAAGGAATGGCTTCTAAATTACAGTTAGCAATTGACGATTTCTGCCCACTGGCTTTAAGAACAACTATTTATACCTACTATTCAACAAAATATTTTGCATCAAAATAATTATCATCTTACTTGTAACAAAAGCAGCTGGAGAAGATGATCATAGCAATTATGCAGATAGCCATAGAAATGAGCACCACCAGCCATCGAATGCTGCCATCCAGAAATGGACCTGCCAGTGAAAGCAAACAATGAATAAACACATTGTCTTTTTCTCACATCTTATTAAAAGAAAAAATCACTTGTAGTGTTAAATTCTAGAAAATTTGCATATTGTTAAAAGCAGAGAAAATATTTTACTGAAAATTATAATCCTGCTTTTCTTTACTAACTTACCTATAACAACAGGGGGCAGTGTAGGTTGTAAATACTGGTTACATAAATTGGTCCGACAACATTCTATTGTCCGGCGAAGCTGGGCTTTTGGTGAGTCCTAGAGGAAGAATAATGATAAATTAGAAATAATATGATATACTAAGTTGAGAATGAAAAATATTAAATATTCATTAAAGTATAACTTCTAATTCAGTGAGTGAAAAGCACCTGAACATTTTAAGTGCAAAAAAAAAAAAATCGTTAAAAATTAGAATTTGTGCTGAAATAGTTTATAGTAGTGAAGACTGTAAAATGGTTTTTATTTTTATTTTTAAAATATATTTTTTTTTATTTCGGAGAGGAAAGAAGAGGGAGAAAGAGATAGAAATATCAATGATGAGAGAGAATCATTAATTGGCCCCCTCGCTGCTGCTGTTAAAATACTCCACTGAGATCTCCTCACTAGGACTTACCGTTTCTAAGTTGTCTCAGAGTGATACAAAGGTTAGTGCCCATCACCTTACAGTCTTTTCAATTTTTTAATCCACAAATAAGTGTGACAGTGTCATTTTTTTGCAGCCTCATTTAGAAAGAGGATGATTTAAAACTTTAAGTTCTTGGGAACCTCAATTACCACAATCATGTCACTTGCAGCAAGAGCTAAGCTTCCCAAATACATCTGCTTAAAGAACATAAAGCACTGTGCAGACGGCACCTCTCTGAGGGAGCTGGTACTTTCTATGGGCCCCTCCCTTCTTTATTTCACGGGCCCCAAATGAGATCTTACCTTGCATTGAAAATCAGATCCTTCATATTTCATACATCCTGAAGCTAATGTGGTTTCTCCCTGGTCATCTTCTTCTATGATGGCAAAGCAATGCCCATTAGTTCTGGAAAAAAAAAAAAAACCCTCTAAGAAACAGAAAAAAACCCCAAAACATAACTTAGTATCAGCAAGTACTAATGAATATGTGCTTGAATGTGACCAGCTACCGACAGCCTTGAGTACCTTGTTGGGATTTATTGGCAAACCACAAGGGCTTTAAGGCAAATGAAAGTTATCGCATCTGAACTAAAACCTAAAGGTCCAATAAGAGCCCTATGTCAAGTAGAAAAGGTGCACTTTTTAAACAAGTGCTCCACATAGGAATCATTATGGAACTTCTCTTTGCTAATACAGTGCTGTGAGTACAGACAGCTGATCTGTAAAATTTGATAAACCATAATTTTTTAAAATATACTTTAAAATAACTTTTTTTAACCCATAAAATTTTCCAACGTTCACATACTGTACACAACAATAAGAGGCACATTTTACTGAACATAAAAAAGGGAGAACTTTTGCCCTGACTGGTATGGCTCAGGGTTGCGGGTTCAATTCCCGGTCAAGGGCATATACCTGGGTTTCAGGTTCACTTCCTGCCCAAATGGGGCGAATGCAGGAGGCAACCAGTTGATGTGTCTCTCTCACATCGATGTCTCCATCTCTGTCTCTTTCTCTTTCCCCCCCTTCCTCTCCCCCTTCCACTCTCTGAAAAGCAATGGAAAAATATCTTCTAGTGATGATTTAAAAAAAAAAGGGAGAGAACTTCTGAATAGCTGAGTTTTCAAGAAATTTACATAAATGTATTTGTCTTTAATAAAATTTATCATTTTAATAATATATGCTGGAGCCCTAGTATGTTCATTTACACTTTAATGGATAGAAAAAAAAACTAAAAGCTTTTTGTATGTTCCTATACTTATTGTCCCTATCAGGAAGTGTATTGCTTCTACTTAAAAGAATCTTGCAGACGCCCGGCTGGTGTGGCTCAGTGGTTGAGTGTCGACCTATGAACCAGGAGGTCATGGTTCAATTTCCGGTGAGGGCATATGCCCAGATTGCAGGCTCGATCCCCATTGGGGGGAAGGGTGTGCAGAATACAGCCAATCAATTATTCTCTCTCATCATTGATCCTTCTATCTCTCTCTCCCTTTCCTTTCCTCCCTGAAATCAGTAAAATATATTTTAAAAAATAAATAAAATAATCTTGCAGAGTCCTAGATGGTTTGGCTCACTGGTTAGAGCGTTGGACTTCAGACTAAAGGGTCACGGGATTCACTCTCATAACTCGGTTGCAGGCTCAAACCCCGGCCCACTGTGGTGTGTGTGGGAAGCAACCAACCTATGTGTCTCTCACATTGATGTTTCTCTCTCTCTCTCTCTCTCTCTCTCTCTCTCTCTCTCTCCCCTCTTCCGTTCCACTCTCTCTACAAATCAATGGAAAAAATATCTCTGGGTGAGGGTTGACAATAACATATAAAAGAATCTTGCAGAATTTTCATTTTCTGTAAGGAGAAAATGTGAACTGAGGGATGAAATTCTGATAAAATCGATGACTTGGTTTCACTCTGGGTTACTCAGCCACTAACAAATACCCTCACACATTAGGAAGGCACTACGGACAAGAAGTCTGGCAAGAAGCCATGTGGTGACATAGTGGAGAGCAATCCCCTATGACACAGGTCACCCAGCCTGTCAAAATAAAGTCAACCACCACCAAAGGACAAACAACAAATTTATGATGTGAAGAACCATCATATAATTTCAAGATTTTACTGTAAACATTTATGCTTTATATCTGGTCACATTCAAAGAGCAGCCAATTATCAGAAAAGTACAAAATAAGACATAAAAAGGAGACAATTAATTGACTAGATTGAGTTGTTAAGGGAATTCTTTTTTGGCTAGTGAAACAATTCTTCGAATGTAGGAAGAGAATTACGTGGTCATGTATAGTGTGCTGAATAGCTAACATAAAACTAAGCAGGAAAACGAAAATGCCTACATAAATCAGATTGGTTTGGGGAGTTGGCTTAACACCCACAATATCATTCTTACATATCTGTAAAATATTTCAGCCAATTTAGAATTACAAGGTTTTGGTGGAATTTTCATGTGTTTTGTTTTCTGTTTGTTTGTTGTTTTTTAATGATCTCAGTGTTTTCTATGAGAATCAATTTTATGATAAAAAGATCATTAAATAAACTCAAAAGGTTAAATAAAAATCACATTCTTCTTATCTCATTTAAAAAGCTATATTACAATGTTACTCTAAGAAAGTAACCATCACGGAGCATTTGAGATCTTGTTTCCCAACATGTCATTTGTTGGGCTCAAATACACTCTTATAAAAATTCCCTATAGGTTCATTCTTACTCAACAAATTCATCAATATAGCAGCCCTGAGGAGGCAACAGGAAAGAGACATGCAAAAGGAGGACACATTATCTGGAACCTGAAAACCAATTTAAAAAACAACAACAGATAGAAACACAATTTTGAAAAATGGCGGCAGAGTAAGTAGATGCTGCAAGGACACGCTCCCAGGACCAAACTGGAATTATAACTATAATACAGAAAAACTTCCTGAATAATCAACTGAAGACCTGCTGGAGAGAACCCTGATAACCAAGGACAGAAAGTGGAGACTGCATAGAGACTGGCACTCAAAATAAGGAGACAAAGAAACAAACCCCAAATGAAAGAATAAGAGAATTCTACAGAAGAAAAGATAAATCAAATGGAGGTAAGAAATTTATCTGATATACAGTTCAGAATAATGATGGTAGAGATGCTCAACAGCATGAGAAAAGATATAACTATGAAAACAGAAATAAAGAATGACATAGTACAAATAAAGAACACATCGGAAGGAATACACAGCAGATTAGGGGAAGCTGCGGATTGGATCAGTGAATTAGAAGACAGGGTTGAAAAAAATCACTCAATCAGATAATCAAAAAGAAAAAAAACAATTTACAAAACAGGACGACAGCTTAAGGGAGCTATGGTACAACAGAAAACGTTAACAATATTCACATAGTAGGCATGCCAGAAGAGGCAGAAAAGGAGTAAGGTATAGAGAATGTGTTTGAAGAAATAATAGCAAAAAACTTCCCTAACCTGGTGAAAGAAAAAGATGCACAAATTCAGGAGGTATAGAGTACACAAGCAAGAAGAACCCAAACAGGCCCATGCACAAACATATCATAATTACATTGCCAAAATTAAAGACAGAGACTCTTAAAGGCAGCAAGAGAAAAGCAAACTATTACCTACAAAGGAGCTCCCATAAGGCTGACACATGGTTTCTCATCAGAAACTTTACAAGCCAGAAGGGAATGGGATTAAGTACTCAAGGTAATGGAAACCAAGAATCTGAAACCAAGATTACTATAACCAGCAAGGCTATCATTCAAAATAGATGGTGAAATAAAGAGGTTCCCAGACAACAAAAGGCTAAAGGAGTTCATAACCACCAAGCCAACATTATAAGAAATGCTAAAGGGACTACTGTAATGAGGAGAAAGAGAGAGAAAGCTAGGCATACAGAATTAAAATGGCAATAAAGAAGTACCTATTAATAATAACCTTAAATGTAAATGGATTAAATGCTCCAATCAAAAGGCACAGAGTAGCTAAATGTATATTAAGACATGACCCAACTATATGCTATCTACAAGAGACCCACCTCAGAACAAAAGACTCACACAGGATGAGAGTGAAGGGATGGAAAAAAATGTTCCATGCAAATGGAAAAGAAAAAAAAAAGCTGGGGTTGTAATACTCATATCTGACAAAATAGACTTCAAAATGAAGGCCATTTGAAGAGACAACAAAGGTCACTATATAATACTAAAGGGATGGATGCGACAAGAGGATATAACCCTGGTAAACATATATGTACCCAATATAGGAGCACCTAAATATAGAAAAAATCTTCTAGAGGACTTTAAAGGAGAAACTGCCAACAATACAGTCATAGTAGGGGACTTTAACACCCTGCTGACTTCATTGGGTAGATCTTCCAGACAAAAAATTAATAAGGAAACAGTGACCCTAAAGGACACATTGGATCAGATGGATTTAACTGACATTTATAGAATATTTTACCCCAAAGCTGCAGAATATACAGTCTTCTCAAGTGCACGTGGGTTATTCACAAAGACAGACCACATGTTAGGACACAAAACAAGTTTCTATAAGTTGAAGAAAATTGAAATCATATCTAATATCTTCTCAGATCACAGTGGAATGAAATTAGAAATCAACTACAGTAAAAACACCAAAAAAAATTTCAAACACATGGAGGCTAAATATTATGTTATTAAACAGTGAATGGGTTACTAATGAAATCAATAAAGAAATCAAAAACTTCCTGAAAACAAATGAAAATGAACACACAACAACCCCAAATCTCTGGGACATAGCAAAAGCAGTCCTGAGAGGGAAGTTCACAGACCTACCTCAAAAAAATACACAAGAAAAATTAATAATAAACTATTTAACCCTACAACGTAAAGAACTATAAAGAGAACAACAACAAAAGCCCAGAGTACGTAGAAGGAAGGAAATAATAAACATCAGAGCGGAAATAAATGACAGAGTAAAAAAACATTACAAAAAATCAGTGAAACCAAGAGCTAGTTCTTTGAAAGGAATAAATAAGATTGATGAACAGTTAAAACAAAGAGAGAAGACCCAAAAAGTAACATCAAAAATGAAACCAGAGAGGTAACCACCAACACCACAGAAATACAAAGGATTGTAAGAAAATACTATGAACAACTATATGCCAACAAGCTTGACAATGTTAAGAAATAGACAAATACCTAAAAAAAATACAATCTCCCAAAACTAAATCAGGAAAAATCAAAAAACCTGAACAGGCCAATAACAACTGATGAAATAGAAGCAGTAATTAAAAAACCCCCAGCAAACAAAAGCCTGGGTCCAGATGGCTTCACAGGGGAGTTTTACCAAACATTCAAAGAAGCACTAACATCTATACTCCTTAAACTACTCCAAAAATGCAAGAGGAAGGAACACTTCTAAGTTCTTTTTATGAGGCCAGCATTATCCTAATTCCAAAACAAGATAAAGACACTACAAAGAAAGAGAATTACAGGCCAATCTATATATATAAAACCCTAATATGCAAACAGACCTAATGGTGCAAAAACCAGTTACTATGATGTGCAATGACCACCAGGGGGGCACATGAGGAACATGGTGGGCGTTGGCAGCAGAGCGTGGAACATGGCAGGTGTTGGCTGTGGTAGGATGGTGGAGCAGGTGAGTGGTGGCGCCAGACCAAGGCGGGGTGCTGGTTGCTGGCATTAGGGTGAGCCTCTGGTGGTTACTGAAAAGTCTTTGTGCTTGTGCGCTACGATCCCACCTCGCACTTGCACCCACTGCCAGTGCCGAAGCTGCTGCTTGCACCTGCTGCTGGCGCAAGAGCCACTGCTCGCATCCACTGCTGGCGCTGGCACCACTTGCACCTGCTGCCGGCCCTGATGGCCCCTGAGGGCTTCTCCACCTCTCCCTGCTCCTGAGGGGCAATTGGGGCAGCAGCTGCTGCTCGTACCCACTGACGGCGCCAGCCCCGCTTGCACCCACCAGCCCCAATCGCTCTGCGCTGTCAGGAGGTACAAGCAGGGCCGGTGCCATCAGCATGTGGGAGCAGTGGCAGTGGAGCAGGGCTGTTGGCGGACAGGGGACTGGGTGCTGCAGTGGGAGGGGCCAGGCGGGGGCACGATGGATGGTCCAAGACCCGCTCCTGTGCCCACCGCAGCCTCGTGGCCCACAGTTCCTTTCAAGGTGCATGAATTCGTGCACTGGGCTCCTAGTATCCTATTAGCAAATCACACCCAGCAATCTATCCTATCTAATAAAAGAGAAACACAGTAATTAGCTTACGAGTGCTACCCTTCCCATTGGCTAATCAGGGTGATATGCAAATTAACTGCCAGCCAAGATGGCAGCTGGCAGCGAGGCAGCTTAAACTGAACATGAGGCTTGCTTGCTTCAGTGACGGAGGACTCCAACGTTCCCTGCCTGCCTCTGCAGGCCTCTGAGCTGCAACTCTAAGAACTATGTTACAAATACAGAAGCTAAACAAAACCCCAGAAACCTGCTTTAGTCCGTCGGGCTTCAGCTAGCAGGATCACAACACTGTTTCAAATACAGAAGGTAAACAAACTTCAGAAACCTGCTTTCAGCAGCGGAGGTCGCATAGCTGGAGCCAAGCCTCAGAGCTAAAGCTGGTCCAGAACTTTTAAAAAAAGGAAAAAAGGACAGGTTGGGAGCTTCAGTCACCCGCCAGCCTGAAAACGGCCCAAGCCCCTCACCCAGGTTGGCCAGGCACCCAAGCGGGACCCCCACCCTGAC